GAGATGGACCGTCACCCTGTCCAGGGTGTCCCCTGCCATGTGCTGTGATGGACCGTCACCCTGTCCAGGGTGTCCCTTGCCATGTGCTGTGATGGACCGCTACCCTGTCCAGGGTGTCCCCTGCCATGTGCTGTGATGGACCGTCACCCTGTCCAGGGTGTCCCCTGCCATGTGCTGTGATGGACCGTCACCCTGTCCAGGGTGTCCCCTGCCACGTGCCTGTGATGGACCGTCACCCTGTCCAGGGTGTCCCCTGCCATGTGCCTAATGCTGCCTGTAAGAGGCTCTAGGCTCCATGCAACCACATTTTGGATAAATGGTGGATGGATAGTATTGTGTATAAGGTAATGAGAAGACAGCACATACTCTATGAAGTAGACTTCTCCATTCTCTGTATAGGCCATCTCCCAGTTTTCAGGCAGAGGACCAAGGAGGTCCTCTTCGGGAGGCTGGAGGTTTGCGTGTGTCTGCTGGGAGCTGTCCGTGGTTGACACCAAGGCGTTGCTGAGGCTGTAGGAGGGAACCTTCTCTTGTGAGGGCTGCGGTCTTAGTGTTGACCGCTCGTCCAGTTCAGTGGAGTCTACTAGGAAGAATGCAGGAGAAGTTCAGGTAATTGAAAGACATGACAAAGCTGAGAATTGCTTCAGTGGCAGATCGCAAAACATTGTGAAATTCAAAATCACTGTTAACCAGCAAACCTAAATACATTTATCTCAGCGGTGTCCATTTGAAGTTCACTGAATTGCACTGTACTTTCCTCTGCATCCTTAACTAGACAGTTGGAAAGCATCCGTTTATTAATATCAGAATTGCCCTGTATGATAAAATCTGCAGTGGAAAATCCAAAGAAACTCCCTTTAACAGTCATTTTACCTAATGAACTGCACCAAATTTTGTATTTTTCTTTACGTTTTCTAACATAAATCAACCATGTCTTTTTATTACTTAGCATGCTATGCATCTTGCAGATTGATGGATATCTTCACAGAAAACAAAAAATATGCAGGAATAAAAAATTTTAAAAAAACACCCAAACTGCATTGCTTACAATTAAGAGGTATATTTTTTGCATTTATGAAAATATAACTTGCATGAATCCAAGTATTATGCTTACAAGTCTTGTGCAATGTTTCAGAATTCCCTAAGAGAATACAATAGAAGCTACACTGTAACTGTCACGTTGCTGGTTCTTGGCATGAGCTGTTTGCTGCAGAGATCCAGCAGTGTGGGATAAAATATCTGGATATCAGTTTTGTGACCCAAGTTCTCTGCTGGCAGAAGTTGTAAATTCTGTCTTCATGTACGTTAGTTTGCTAATAGGTAAAGGAACGATACATACAGGCAAACTAGTAACACTGAATGTCCCTGGTGTGGATGATCACATGCACCCGAGTGAGTGTGCAATATAATGCATAATGTGCCTCATGCCCAGTACCCTCCCAGACACCCAGTGGTCCAAAATTTACAATAGAGCACATCCTCCTATTAAACATATAAGTAATTATGGCTCAACTATATATAACATACTTCTAAACTATTAGAAAAAAAAATGTATCCTACACCACCAAAAAAACATTCTTTATAAAAAAATCTTTAACCATTTTAAAAAATCCTTTTTCATAAGTATGAATGAATTTCAACTGCGAGATAATTTCTTAGAAAATTATACAAAACAAATGCACATCACCATTCCCAAATCATAATAAAAATGAAGAGAACAATGAACAAGCGGCACAGACGGCGCGTTCACATACCCCATCTCACAGGCAGATGGCGCTGTCATTTGGACCCAGAAAGCAAAAGGCACATCAGCACAAAGGCATGATGTAACCGCCAGACACACAGTACCCACAGTGCAGGACCAGCTGCTTTTACCTGTAAAGCTACTGTTCATTTCAGGAAGCTCGTCTTCATTCTCCTGCTCTGTAGCCACTATTTGAACATTTTGCATGTCATTGTAGGACTCTGTGCGCTTAGGGGTGCACTGCTGCGAGCCGTCTTGCAAAGCATCACTGGTAATCACTGTCCCACGGAGGGGTTGGCTTGGCGGCTTGGGTGTTCCATAATAGTTGCCTAGGCAACAAGGGGACATTAGCATGTTTGAAAAACACAGAAGTGGGAAAGAGGATCATTTCATAATAAGCCCTGAAATTTCACTCAGAAAAGTGAAAGGATTTGAAAATCTTGTATGCACTAATGGTGGATGTTTGCAGTTATTATAACTTAAACATGTCTCTGCTTAAAATGCTGTCATGGTCTGTGACATGCGGGAAAAACAACACAGAAATCCATTGTTACAGAATACTGAACACACACCATGTGTAGGACCTATAGTACAAAAGACAATACCTCATTAAATATAAATTTCAATGAACGTCTTTTCTCATTTCTTGGTTTAGTGCTCTTAACTATGAGCTTCAATGATGCTGCTCCAAGTGAAAATAAAAGATAATTTTGGAGAGCTTCATGCATACTTAATGCAAAGAGAATAAGAAAATAGGAACCCAAAACATTTTTTTACCCAAACAAAGCAATCCAAAGTGACCCCTGTGAGGTCATTAAAAGAGTGTATTAAAGTACTGAAATGATTTTCATTTATTTATGGAAAATTTGGACCTGCTTGGTACTATTCAGCATAGACGACATAGAAGCATAGAAAAAAACCTTCTGAGTTAAACTGCTGGCCGCCGTCTGACCCGACGGCATCTCATTAACTCCTTTCATTAGTGGGCTTAAGGCTGAGAGGACGACAGAACAAAGAAACCTATGGGATAAATTAGTGACCTCGTTGCAGCCATGTTTCTGTGAAAGAACACAGCTTTCCATTATTAGTAATTACCTTCGTATGTTCCTACTTCCAAAAGAGTGCCACTTTTTTCAAGGTTTAAGAAGTCCTCCACAGACAGGAAGTTGTAATCTACTCCTGGGACTTCCCCTTCTCGAGGGCGGCGGGTTGTACCTGGAGAAAAAAATAAAAGCTTGCTGAAAAATGACTGAATGTTTCAAATTAATAGTGAAACCCAAAAATAGCACTGGAGTTTACCCCTTGTGTAAATGGCAGTAGCACATTTAAATTTTGTCATTTTTCTTTAGCTTAAGATGCTGAAAGATAACCCATTTTATGTGCCAATTAACCTAACTGGTAGGAGGTAAGGATAATTGTCCCACACAAAGACATCAAGACGTTCTGCTTCCATACCGAAATGCAAGCACTCAGATGAATGAACACTGTTATTTAAAGCATATTGCAACTATGTTGCATGTACTGTACTAAGCTGTAACACTATAGCACTATGAGTTACTCAAGATGCAAGTGTGAGCCACAGCGCCACAGTGTGAGCAGACCTGCTAGACTTGATGAAAATGGCATTATGCGCGTTTGCGTCTGTTTCGCCATCTGGTTCATAGATGGCTGTGTGTTGAAAGTGCTAGTTCCCGGCAGACTGACAAGCAGTGTAAATCCCACCACTTAACGTAACTGCTAAACGGAAGAGGGTAGCTGTTAATGTCTCAATAGTAATTAAGATGAAGGAGCATTGTGCCCCAACTGATCATCACCTGTATCTCGCCCCAAAATGTATTAATATCACAATGAAGGTTGGAGGCACCAGGAGTCGATTGAAAATGGCAGACAGACAGGCAGATACAGCTATCTGGAAAAAGTAGATGTGTGTGATCACACTACGCACGTCTTAAATCATGAAATCGTGGAGCTCTGAGCTGAACTCAATACCATGGAAATGGTAGTAGGTACTGTATGCCAGCGAGCAGCGTTCCCTGTGATTCTGGCTGATACCATAAGTGATCGTGCCAAAAAACAATTGCTGCCTTTCTGGGATTAATTCAGCAATCGCAAATAGCATTGGATTGGCTTTGGGATTTCTAATGCAGGCTGTGTGGTACACTGAACAGGTTTTGTCCCGATGGCAGGACTAAACTAGGACTGAAGAACGAATTAAATGTAGGTGCTAAACATTTATACTGTAAAGGTTCTATATCATGATTTCAACATGTGCACCAACTTAAGACTTAAATGCACAAACATGATATCATATGTTAAGTAAAGTAATATCACTGAATATCAAGGACGTTCAAACAAATCTGATATATCTAAAAATGTCCTTTAGCAACCAATTCTCCATTAACCTGCCAAAATAAGATCAATTCTGTTCCCAAATCGTTTTCCTTCCTAGTTGATGGTTCTTTCCCAAACTCAACCCAATCAATCCATCCAACTTTTAACCTCTTTTCCAGTTCAGGGTGGCAGGTCAACCCACTCAATCAAGCTGAAATTTCTTAAAGAAAAAAAAAGGATTAAGTAAGAATGACTGAACCTCAGATCACAACAGAAGCACATTCAAAAACACACACGGCGAGAATCACGCCTGCTCACGGTACCACAGCTGAATCTGTTTTTATACATTTCTCCCCATTAATCAAGTGTCTTTCATGTTTCCGGTGATTACAGCAGTCACCAGAGAATATTCTTCTCTGATACTAATTGGGTGTACAATGACCAGGTCAACCAAGGGCACTAGGCCACTGCATTAGGATATGCTGGCATATGTAATGTGCCAAGGACCTTTGTGGGATGTGGAAGGAACTTTGTGGGATGTGGAAGGAACTGGAAGGAACTTTGTGGGATGCGGAAGGAACTGGAAGGAACTTTGTGGGATGCGGGAGAAAATGGAAGGAACTTTGTGGGATGCGGGAGAAACTGGAAGGAACTTTGTGGCACGTGGAAAGAACAGAAAGGAACATTGTGGGATGAGGGGGTTTTATTGAGTCACCCAGGTGGTTTTGACCTGATGAAAAATTATTGTATCCTTGAATTTAGATTAGATTAGATTAGATTAGATTAGATTAGACTTTATTAATCCCACAATGGGGAAATTCTTTGAGAAAACAGCAGCAATAATGAAAAAAGACAGTACAAAAAAAGGACAGGATCCATAGGATCAGCAAAAAAATAACAATACAGATAATAAAAACAATAGAAAACCATTTCTAAAACTGTAAAAATATATAAGTAAAAATGTAAGAAAAAAAGAAACATATACACAATGCTAGGTATATGGATAGCAGCTGCTGAAATATATATATATATATATATATATATATATACATACATACATATATACACATATGTACATATACAGGGATTATATTTAGTTCTCAATTTCAGTTCCTAGGAATTATGGATCATGTATGGCAGAGAATTTATCATTTAAGCAGTTAAGTGACTGGTGCTGTATCGCTGGCAGCCACCATTAGCTACTATTAAGTTCTACTTCATAATGAAATAATCTGAGACTGGATACAGTACGCAAAATTAAGGTATTTCGAATAGGGAAGAAAACAAATCATAGAAATCACAGAAAATATGACCTGAGCAACAAAGCAAGCTTAAAAACTGTGCACCTATTACAATGAGCAAATGGAATAATAAATTCTTAGCCCACATACTCTCCGAAAGATGATACCTAAAGAGACTCATCAGTGCCACATTGTGCACAGTGCACACAGTGTAGTACAGTGTTCATTAAGGACAAGACCAAAGGTTACCATACTTCTGGTTTAATTTTTACATGGCAGAACACGACCAAACCACTGCCATTCAGGAATCCTACAAATCTCTGAACAAATTATTACTATTATATTATGGCTGATATGTGATCCAACATACGATACTAAATGATGTAACAGATGTGAATTATCGACTCCCAACATTTTAATCGTGAATTCCTTTTCGCTAATTTATATTTTTGGTAAAATAGATAATGATATGACTAATTTGTACGAGTGCTTATGAACTGATCTGTGTGCCATGGTAGCCATGGCAACAAGGCCTTTGTTGTTGACTTTTGGACAGGGTTCTGCAGGAGGTCATCCTTTGGTAGAATCAGCCCACAAGAGGAGCACACCTTAGTAATCAGAGGCACAATACTGCATGTATCTGGAGTATACTGGGAGTATACAGAATGAAGATCTGATAAAGAAAATAACTAGACAGAAGCACACAGGGACAGACTATACACTGCAGTATAACCATATATTTGCTGATCCTAAAAAATAGACAGAGGGGAAAATGGCAATATGACTCAATATAAGTCCGTAGAAGTAACAATGAGAAGAGGCTTTCAAAGTCTAACTCAGTGTCATTTTGAAACATCGTAAGTCTCACCTGTGTAGTCACATATTTCACCTGAATAAGACCAGTGGTACCTCACAATAATCTACAAAAGAAAACAGCTATGTTCTATTTTATAGATGTTTGAATTCATGTTACATTCCACATACATCATAAAAATTAATAGTTTGGTGACAATGGTCATACTCATAAGCAATAAAAGCACAGCAGGGACACATGTTATATCCAGCAGCTGTTTAAAGTTTTACATTATAAGGATAAGCTGTCAAGGCCTCATTAAATTTCATATGAAGCTTATACTTTGAGTTTAATAAACATAGACCTTATGTCATCCCATCCACCTGTTGACCTTTGCAATCGCTTTGGTTATTTAGGGACATATACAAATATAGGCTAAGGTACATCTGAAATTTGGCAAATCTAATCAGCTACGTAGTTCCTTGAGACACATGAGTTGCAACATCCTTGTGAAGTTTTTATCTACATTAAGTCATCAAAGAACTTTCCATAATCCAAATTCCCATCTACAGTCCCAAAATAAAAAATATCTGGTGTTTTACTGTATGACATGCTCAAGTCAATACACAGTATGTACGGAGTAAAAGTCAAGGTCAGATGCTGAAAATCTGCAGAGAGACTCTAGATCACAGGTGTTAGACTCCAGTCCTGGGGGGCCGGAGCCCTGTACATTTTTGGGTTTCCCCTCGTTTAACACACCTGATTCAACTTCTTTTGCTAATTACCACACAGCTCTTGAGCTGAATCATTTGTGGTGGAACAGGGAAAGAACTAAGCTACACAGGGCTCCGACCCCTCAGGACTAGAGTTTGACACCCCTGCTCTAGACAAAACAGACCTTAGACCTCAGGTACACTTCCACTCTAAAAAGTCAGATGTGACAATCTGTGTTTGACTAGCTAACTGATCATGGAAAATTACAAATAAAATCTTTCACTTTCTAAAATAAGTTATACTTTGACAGACCCCCCCTCCACCCCCAACTTTTTGTTGATGGTTCACTCTTTTCACCAAGTTGGTCAAGTTTTTAATCAACCATCTCATTGTTTTCACTCCAGCTGGGTTAACATGTGCACCATGAAATATGTAGATTAAGAAAATGCAGGACATAGTGCCCTCAGGAATTATTGGCACCCTTTGTAAAAAAATAAGTAAAAAGGGGGGAGGAGTACATGTTTATGGTCAATCTCCAACTGAAAGGTTTTGAGAAATGCAACTTTTACTAAGTAAATTTGTTTTTAAAAAGAACCCTTAAAAAATCACGTGTCACAATTATTGCACCCTCTAAAATTCTTAAACAGAATTTCATATTTATATTTTACTTTATTAGTTCACCTGAGTATTTGGGAACACTATTCCCTGACTTCCTGTTTTACTGGAGTATGAATATGACATGCCACGGAGGCCAAATTCATCAAAAAGGGTAAAGGTGTAGAATACGCAAATGACATGACAGCAGTGGGTTGAAAATGACTAAGATCACAAGTACAAAACAACTAAGACATGTGAAACAACTTGGGCTGTAATGAGTCTGCCTGCAAGAGTTTTTTTGCCCACACACACTGAAGACAACGGTTAGAGAGACAAAAAAAATTCTCCAGGTATCACGGCTGGAGATTTGCAGAAGATGCTAGTTTCGTGGGGTCACTAGGTTTCCAAATCTACAATCAGACACCACCTCAACAAAGGTATCTGCAGGAAAGCATTTGCTATCATCAAGGTACAAAATTAAGCACCTGGATTTCTCTAGATGCTACTAGAACTTTAACTGATACTGGGTTTTATGGCCA